CCCCAAAACCCCAAAACCCCAAAACCCCAAAAGGAAGAATAGTTGATGAACTCTAAAATCAATGTGAAAATTAAAAATTATTGTAGTCATCTATTTTATTTTTACTGGAGAACCAAGTATGCTACTATTGCTTTGTAACCCCTCCTTTATATTATATTATCTAAGGTATCTGCTTCTTCTAAAATAGGTTTTGCAACCTCTGGATGTCTTTTGGAGTTTTTGTTTGATGACTCACATGATTTGAATGAAGTGAAAAATTCGCTTCTCTGTATATAGCTCTCTTGAATGCATCATGCTTATTATCGCTTCCATAAATTTACAAATAATCCGTGTTTTTATTTAATTAATTTATTTGGTTTTGGTGAGACTACCTAGTATGATCAAATGATTTAAATTTTGTGAAATTCATTCCAAAATCCTCCATCATATTATTTGAATGGCTAGTAATCATTCTATTTGCATAATTTATTCCTTAAGAATTGCTCTACTGTGGTTGCTATATTTTAGTGATATCCTTATAGAGAGATTTAAGAAATTTTTATTTATTTAGGAGTTCATTAGAAGGCTGTATTAATGATTTGCTGTTATTGTGAAGTGAATTAGAGCCTGTAGCAGCTTTTATAGTGGAGTGCTTTGAACTAATTTCTATAGAGGGAAGTTATTTTATCATCTATTACTGATTACATCGTTTAAATATCTCGTTTATGAACTAATTTCTTTCTCTAATCTCCTAAACATGCTTCTGCTCAGCCAGAGGATTAAAATTGCCAGTAGTCTTTCTTAGATCATTGTTTTAATAGACTAATTGGTTTTATTTGTATTCCTTATATAAGGAACTTTTTGTCGGAGTGTTTTCTACCTAATTAAAATCACTTAAGATGCGTTTGATGCCTTCATTATTTGAAGTTCTTCCATTTGATTTATGTAGCTTGATTTCTTATGAAGTTATTTGACAATTTTAATCCATATCAAACTATTTCATATACATCATAGAGGTGTTTTGCCTTTTATGCATAAAATCCTCAACTATTGTTAAAGGCTTAGAATTTGACCCTATTTCATTTTCTTCATACATTACTTATGAGTCGCTAAGTCCTATAGAATTATTATTCTTGTGATGAAAACTCTTCTAGTGATTTGGAGTTTCATTTTTTATATAAATCTATGAAAAAATCACATCAGGATTCAACTATTAATTAACTTCATCCAGGAATAGTTGCTCTATTTAATTCATGGATTCAGATTTCCTTTAAACAATCTGTTTGAATTAGGCTTCTTAAATCATGCCTCTTAAGTTGCTATTATTTCTTTGCTTATTCTATTAAGCAGGTTTCTCTATATTAGGCTCTATTTCAAGCCCCATTCCTCATGAACTTTTTCCTTCCTCATCATTTTCTTTTATTTTCATATATTTTTTTAAGTAAAGTTAAAATTTGTCGTTTTGTCTCATCATTTCAGTTATCTTAGTCTCGTGGAACATGTTTAAATCTTTGTTCTGTTTGAGTCTCTGCATTAATTATCTATATTTTGGGTTCTAAGTGAAATCATCTCTTTGTAATTAATGTAATACATTATTCCCATATGCAAATGAATTAGCAATACTCTCATCAAGATCAATCTTTAACTTTACTCTCTTCTTTTAATCACGCACAAATTATCGTAAATGATGCTCACTTTAATTTTTTCAGGTATGAAGTATCATATGTAAGGCATTTTAAGGGTAAATGCTTATCTTATATTGCTAACTCTTTACATTCTCATCATCGTCACTTAATATGCTATAAACATCCATTAAATTAAATTGAAGCAAATTAATTTATTTAAACAGTATAATTAAGAATTAATCATGAAAAACATTCAATCATCATAAGAAAAGACTGCTAGAATTTAGAATACTTCAAATATTTCTCCTAACTAGATTCAATCAGAAAGATAGAATTTTGATGTCGATATGAATGAATTCAATATGCTAAATGCACATCACTAAGAAAGTATAAACAGTTCGGCAGGCATGACAGTACTAAGATAAGTACAAGACAACATCAAGTTACAAAATAGTAAAAATAATCAATAACCGAATGGCAGCATATTGATCAAAGATAATCGATATACAGATGCAATCAGATCTTAAGAAGTATAATTGAAGGAAGAAGATTCTAGCAAAACAAGAGTTGTAGCAAGTGGAGGAGGTGAAGGTTTTTTCTTAACAGGAGTAAATGTTAATGGACAAGTTATTGAAGGGTAGCATGAAGATGATAATGTAAATCCACTTTTACAAGAAAGCTAGCTTTAAGTAGAAGCTAAATTAGATTTCGATGAGGATGGTTTAATAGATAACTATGAAGTCATCAGTATAATTGACTCATCTAGAGCACTTTCAAATGATAATGTAAAATTAATTGCATGTAATTCTAAACCTTAATTTATAGTGTGTAATAATCAATGAAAAGCAGTAGAGTCTTACTCATCTAACCTGTAATAGTTAAGTCACTCTTCGGGTTGATGCACTAGTTTCACAATATAGTCAAGTTGAAAAAATAGCAAAAAGATATGCCAAGATCTTTGTTGACTAATAAAAAACTGATAAGCTCATTCTAAATATTTCAGATTAGCACGACACCAGTAACATAGGAGGATTTAACATCTCAAATTTTAAGATGCGTTATCTTAATGAATTTATTAATGACATAATCTCAGATTATGAGTAGTCATTCTTAGGATGTTTCTCAAAATAGTTGATTTAGCATATGCAATCGCTTAATTTTTTCAAAAGTTTAGATCTTTATATGTCGATCACAAAATTCGAAGGTGACTCTGGTTTTTCATTAGTATAAGGCGATGATCAAGAAGAACTTTAGGATGATGTTGTTGATGATTATCAGGAGTTTCAAGTTCCCTTGCCTAATATTAGATAATCTAGACCAAGAGATGGTGAAATGAGTAAAAAATAAAGTGCTAAGAAAAAAAATACTGATAAAAAACGAATATCAAGTGAAAAGTATTTGATTATGTCATCAAGCCCTAAAAATAAAAGAGATAGCTCTTAAGAATATATTGATGATGGAAGGGTTAAAAAACAACTATTCTCACAAGATAAAAAGACTAAGCTAATATAGAATCAACCAAAAAAGACTCAGGGATCACTTCCAGAGTATAAACAAATTTCAGACATGTCTGAGATCTATTCTGCATTCACCCAAGCCAATTTACGATACAGAGTTTTAAAGAGAAAACTCTAAGACAAGTCCAGTCTTGATGCATCCTAGATTAAGTATTAATAGGATGAAATTAAAGATGAGATTATTCTCATTTAATTTAAACTCATAAATAAGGAAACAGAAAAATAATTGAATTCTTTTAATATACTGAATGTACCGCTATCTAAAATGGGTGATATAAATCTACAAAATCTTCATGATATTCTAATAAAGCTAAAGTCAGGAGGGAATAAAGCCAAGGAATATATCCCTTATAATAAATCTATTATGTCGAGAATTCTTGCCCCTATTTTAAATAAAGAAAATATTGTATACCTTTCTCATTATAGTAAGAGAGGTATTATAAGTCATTTAAACTCACCTAATCACACAGGCCTAGCAAATGGATTGTTCCTATTTCTAGATAAAATTTTTATGGAAAGAAGATTTAAAAAGAAGAAACTAAATCATTAAGAGGCATTAAAGATATTACAAAAGAAGTTTTCTAAAGAAGTAAAAGAGATTTACAGTATAATTGGACATTTTAGAGATGGTGTAAACTCTTTTGAAACTTACACTAATTAATCAGCTTAGACAATGCAAACAGTAAATAAAGCCGCTACAAAAACTCAAAGCTTTACTCTATTTCATTAAATTCTTCATTTTCTGGCTTTAAAAGAAGATATAGACATGAACGGAGGTCCTCTTGCAAATAGCAATTTTTTATCTGAGGAAGAAATATAAAAAGTCATTTTTGATAAATAATATCTAAAATTTTTGAGGAAAAAGATTAGGGCAGAATTAGCTGGAATGCCTTAAATACAGGCTTAACAATCAACAGTTAAGCTGACTAAATTATAATAAGTACAGTATGAGTGTATAAAAAGTGAGCTTAAAGAAGACTATGAGAAGAAAGTAACTTCACTTAAGAATAGACTTGACAAAAAAGCAATGAGAGATCCAAGTTTATTACTTTTTTCTTAATTAACTTAGGAGGAGCCCAAAAAAACAAGTACAACGCCCTTAGCTGGTAATGGATTTAATAAGAGCTTCACTTCTGGTGGTAGAAATGCTTCAAATTAGTACAATAGACCAAGATTTCAGTAAAATGCTAATAATAATAAGAAGTATTAATATTAGTTAGAAAATGTAAATGATAAAGACAAATTTTACGAGTTTTATTTGAAAAGTGCCTAAAAGGCTATAGATATCATGAGGCAATAATAAATCCTATCATCTGATGATAAAATTGATTCTTAGAATCAGACTTTCACCGATGGAGTGAATGTTCAGAACTTGCCAGTCTACCATCCGTCTAAGGCGTAAAATCAAAGCGAATACTAATCTTAATCATCTTCAGTAATCGAGCAGTCAAAGCTAAATTACAATTAGAATAATAATAGTAATAGTCATTATATCTAAAATTTGGGAACAGGATTAAGGATAAATAATCCATTGAGAGCTTAAAGCAGTAAAAAGGAGGAGAGAAGATAACCCAGAAGTATAAGAAACATAGATAGTGCTCTGGAAATAGAAAATAACAATCACAATACGGCTAAATAGCAAAAACTTCAGCCATTGTTTGTGAGAGAACACATATATCATGATAATAGTAATGTTTTAGAAAGAATTGAAGAAAGAATTAAAAATAGTAAATTAAGCGAAACTTAATATACTTAAAATGCTTACAGTAATTTAGATAGGAAAACTTCAGCTAGCTCTCAAAGCAGAGCAGCATTATCATCATAAAATAGAAAATTCAGAAAAGTTCTTTCTAATAATCAGGCAATCCAAATGAAATAAAAGTCTGGAACTGATGTATCCAGTGCCATTTCATAAATTCCAAAGGCATAAACAGAACTGACAAAAGTTAAAGAATTTTTGCCTCTTAGAGCCTAAGGCAAACTTAAAGCATTTAATATTTATAATGAAGGAGCAGATTCTGGTTATTAAGACAATCCCAGTGATATGACTCAATTCAGAGAAAATCCAAAGTATCTTAAAAACCAATCTAACCTTTACAATTTATCTAGTTTATTATATGAGCAGCGAGACATGAAAAGGAAGCCATAGACGGCATAAAGACAAAAAAGAATTCCTCAAAATTAAAATAATTATGCTAGCAACGATTTAAATAGATAGCGTACTAATTCAATGAGTAAACCCACTTTAATAAAGAGAGAGTCCTCTAATATGACAGATATTGAAAAGGAATAAGATCCCTATTCTTAAAATCAAAAATAATAGCTATCCGACGATAAACCGCTCTTTGGATAACTTTATTAGAATGCTTCATGAACTCTATATGTGACAATTAAAAATCTATTATTCAATAAGTTTTATTATTAAATTAATATCCTTAATATTGTAATATACTTATGCTATGGGGTTTTGGGGTTTTGGGGGAAAATGAGGTCAAAGACAATGCAAATATAT